TCATCATCACAGTGGAAATCCTCAGATTCCGCCATGGCTTCTTTAAAAGGTTCTTCTTTTCTTTGAGCTCCTTGTGGCTGGTCCTTATCCTTTCTATCTTTACCTGGATCAGGCTTTCCAGAGTATGTGTTAGCTCTAGTATCTATAGGCATAATCACTAACTTAACATAATACTACCAGTAATGGCTAAGTGCGTATAGCAAGATCTGTTAAATCTAATGTTATGGTAATGCTAACCTACACATTGATTGATAATATATAACCTAAATATGACAATGTTGTAAACAATTGCAAGTGCAAATTATTTTGTTTATGAATATTCAATTAGAATTTTGTTGTAAACCTGATATAGTTTACTATTTATTAACACAATATATGTGTGCTAAGTTCTAAATATGAAATAAAATTTATGTAATGCTGTTATTTGCAATTATTTACTATGATAATTCACCTATGATTTACCAATTGATGGATTTTCACCAATGATGAACCAATAAAATGCACTGTCGCAATTGCTTGCTTGCTTGCTAATTGATTATTCACCACTAATCTTATCTAAAATAACAGTGAAAATTAAACCATCTTACTCTATAAATGTTTGTAAAATTAACTTTTAGCAATGATAGCAGATAAATAGCTAAGTTGTAAGTTTTGCTAGTTTCACTTCAGGTGCTGTACTTCAGTAACTGTTTGTTTACCTTTTGGTCAGCTTGACCTTATTGCCTTATATGGGTTTATGTCAACAAAACTAGGCATACACTTAATTCACTAACTGGGTCAACTTGACCTTGCACAAATGCATTCAGATATATGTGTGAAAAATTGAGAGCTAACTATCCTAACTACTCTTTTGTTTTAACCATGTAATCTAACCTAGCCTATTGTTGCATGACTACTGATTGGCTATCTAGCTAATAATACCTTCACATAAACTTGCATGCACTGAACATGTGAAATAACTCTCTATGCAAAATTCTTATCCTATTCTCAAATTGAAAAACTCTGTACTACTAAACTGTGTACTTCAAGAAAAAGCTTTCCAAATTACATGTAATTGCATATGAAATTGCAAATGTGTGATTTTCCAATGTTGTTCCAAACTTTGCTATCGAATTTGCCACTGTTTGCCTTATTGTAAAAATCTATGCTACTGTGCAGTGAACTGATTTTTCAAAATATTGCTAGAACTTCAGTTTTCATTTTCAGGATTTGCCTTATGTGACTTCTGTAACTCTCCTTTTACTCTGAATTTCTTAGGCTTGCTTCTTAGTTTCTTAGAAAAGTTCTTTCTGATCTGCTTCAGATCTTGAATCTTAGGTCTTGAATAAAGTTCTTTGTCTTGAGTTCACATCAAAGTCTCTAGCTCATCATGGAATTTTCCTAACAAAATAGCAATTATATTACCTCGTCCTTATTGCTTGTGTAGCGCTTGAAGCGTGGTTCTTGTTGTTTGCCGCCACCATGTAATGTTGTTATTATCTTGTTTCATACTACCTTGTCGACGCCTATCTTGGGTTCTGGACGTTATGACGAGGGGCCCCTTTGATGCTCTCGCTAGGTCTGATAGTTGTCGCTTATTTCAGTCTCTTATTTGATTCTTGTTTCATTTGTACAACGTTATGTTCTTATTTCTTATTTTATATCTTCACATAATATTTACATGTTGATGCTTTGACTTCTCTTTGTGAACTCACTGTTCTTTTCAAAATCATAATTGGCTTCTCTGATTGCACTTTTCAGTTTTTAGTCTAGTTTAGTATACTCTAGTGCCATCTTTTGATCAACTTTAAACTTTTAGTTCCATATACATTACAGTCAATTTGGTGAGAAATCAACAAGCGGAGTATATCATCACAATATCCTCTGAATATTGGGTTTTCCGGAGTATATCGTCACAATATCATCCACCCGGAGTATATCGTCATGATATCCTCCGGTTATTCATTTTGCCAATAAATATCAAATTTATTTTCTAATGTTTTTATACATTTGGTACACTAAGTGTAGGATAACATAAGTCATATTTTGTGTAAAGGGGTTATAATAGAGTGACATATTCAAGTTCATGTGAATAATTGAACCAGTTCTCAAATGACAAGTTGGCATCCTTTGATTGATAATGTACAAAGAGTGTATAGATTTTCTCATTACTGTACTCTTGTTGACTTTGTAGTTATTACATCATATTGTACTTAGTCCTGTGTTGAAAATTTTTCTTGTCATGCCGATTTCACAATTTTTCTCTCTAAAACTTGAATGGCCATCGTTTGTTGTTTGCATTTCGATATAATTTAGAGTGTTCTCTACATTTCTGTTTACTTTATTCCTTGCTAATTCTATGCCTTTCTTCTCTATTTTCCATTTTAAAGCATCACTACCTTGACATTTATGCTTTTTCTAAAATAAATAGCAGTGTCACTCATCAATGGTATGGAGAATGATTTTTACACTGAACTTGCTCCAGGGATCCACAGCCTTTACCAGCTATCTTTATGAGAACTAGAGCTTTATATAGAAGTATGGACTCTGCTGAGTCAGCATGAGGATTTTTCCCAAATATTATAGTTTATTATGTCACCACCAAAAAGTCGTGACATATTGGGGTGGTCTCCAGTTTTTTTTCACGGTGGTCGGCGGTTGGTGGTTGGTGGTTGGCGATCAGCGTCTGTAACAAATTCATACAACTTCCAATAACTTAACAAATACTGTTTAGACTGACTTCAATTTTGGTCAAAATCATGTACATGTTTTCAGAACTTCAAATCTGACTTCATATTTAAGATTTGACCTTCAATGACGTTTAAAAGGTCAAAAAGGTGTTTTTTAAACTTGCTTCAAATTGACCAATTTTTTTCAAAACCATCCACAAGTTATCAGAAGTTCAAATCTGACTTTAGATTTGAGATTTGACCTTCAATGACCTTCTCAAGGTAAAAAAAAGATCAAAAAGGTCTTTTTTCAACTTGCTTCATATTGACCAATTTTCATCTACAAGTTCACAACCGTTCAAATCTGACAATAGATTTGACCTTCAATGACATTCTCAAGGTCCTTTTTCATCTTGCTTCAAATTGACCAATTTTTTGAAAATCATCTTCAAGTTCTCAGAAGTTCAAATCTGACTTTAGATTTGAGATTTCATCTTCAATGACCTTCTCAGAGTCAAAAAAGGTATTTTTTTAACTTGTGTCAAATTGACCAATTTACTTTTTCAAAATCATCTACAAGTAATTCTCAGAAATTCAAACTTAATATTGAACTTATAATATTGTGAGTAACTAGGTGGTAACTAGGGCACTAATTATACCATATTTGACGGTATTGGAAAAGTATTATATCATATTTACATGTAGCTATGAAATGAATGCCATTTGATCAATTTTCCAAATCTGATTAATGAGTTAGGTAAATATACAGAATCAATGGGAGATGAGTTCCATTGCCAAATATGTGACAATTAACTAAGATTATTCAGACATTTACGTTATAAGCTTAAAGAGCTGTTATAAACCAGGGATTATCATCAAGGAAAGACATTCCTTAACTTCTTGAGTATCAGACGTGATTGAAACACTTTGAAAATCAAAGTATGTCTGTCACGAGATAGACATCCTTGGAAAATCTTACTGTTTAAGATTTTATGTGCTGATACCTTATGGCCATAGGATTTCACCCAAGAAGCAATTTAAAAAATGGCTGCTAAATTCAAAATGGCAACCTTTTTAGGAGAGATATACTTTCTGATTACTCCAAAATCACCAAGATTAGATTTCATAGGCTGATGCCTTTAATGGGCAAGGGATTTTTATTGAAGAAGGAATGTCTTATACCTGTGTAATTTTGCTAAAAGGAGACAATACTATTTCTTGGTTATTTCTATCATGAGCTTTTCAAAATGACCATTAAAGGCAGAATCAGATCTAACAATTACTTTGGTGCTTCATCTTGACGAAAATTGTTTCAATTATAGAATATTTTGGGCTCATATCACAGGCCATCCAACTGTCCCGCAATTTGCGTATTTGTCACGCATTTGCTGAAGAAATTGAAGTCACACCAGCTTTTTTTGTGTGACAGAATATGTCACGCAAATACACATTTTACAAAATATTTCTGTAGAAGAACTTCAATGAATGCCGATACATAAAAAAATTAACGCCGAAGAAAAGTGAACGCATTCCGTTCGGACTTTTCACGCAAATTCCGTATATGTCATGCATTTGCTTTGAAATTTTTTGTACCTTGAATCTTAAATAACTTCACTAATTGATAAAATATCACAGATCTTTTGGGAGATATTATATTTGAGCTTGTATTGGAATAGATTGTTAGATCAATTGTACATATTGCTCGCAATTTTGTCACTCCCTTTAGATCTGATTCTGCCTTTTATATCATGTCTTTGTTTTTTGTTTCATTTTTGTTTGCCGCATAGAGTGAACAGTATAATGTTGGCCTGAGAGAATTGCCATTAATTTGAACAGATACTAGAATATGGTAGTCAATATTCTAAAATATCTAAAAACAGCATTTATAAAAACCAGATAATTATATTTAATAACATCAATCTATGATACACGAAAACAATCATTATTCTCAGAAAAGTATACTCATTACCAATAAGCTGACCTGAAAATAGGTAAATTACAAAATAATCCCATTGTTATGGATGCCACTGTGCAGGTAATTATAGCTAATATTCTTTCAAGGGACAATTATAAAATAGCATGGGAAACTATGACAAGTATTCCTTTGTTTCATAACAACAGTACAATGTAATAGAAAATTGGAATTGTGAAAATTGACAGGTTTAGATATTCCTTGATTACTTGTGAGGCAGGTCTGGGATTAGTGGATTACTCTGAGCAAGAGTTTGACATCAGTGACACTCTGTAAATTAAAGATAATTGAGACCATTGTATATGTATTGTCTATTGCCATACCAAATGTTAAAAAGATACCCCATGTGCACTGAGGATCTGAGTCCAGGTTTATATACAGTAATTTCCCAGGTACTGTACATGTGTAGTAAGAAATTGTGAAAATATACTTTGCCTATTTAGATGACAAAAATTAAAGGCCCTGGAATTAACAATTGAGATTCTTATTAACATCAACACTAAAACTGTATGAAATTGTTTGTATTAGTCAGAGTGTGTTATGGCAAGCTGATGCTAACAAAGGGTCAACTTTTCCTCATGCATGGTTCAATGTGTTCAATGATACTATACATGTATAAAGCTGAGGCAGGTGAGAACTGCCATGCCAACTTTTTATGGAAAATATTATACAAGGGTCGATCCAGATATTCTGATAAAAATGTATGTTTTATCAATGTTTTTTTACTTAAGGTAACATGGTACTTGTTAACAGGAAATGACAAAACAGAAAGTGACATATTTTTGAACCAAGATGACCTGTTGACCTCCAGTCAGTTTAACTATATCTTGTTCAAAAATGTCCAAAAAGGCAGCATGTTTTAAATAAATTGTGCACTTTGGGGATTTTTATTAGCATACATGAAAATATTTGTAGAAAATAGGTATGACAAGGAATGACATGAACCAGAAATATTCTAAAATTGAAACAATTTTTTCTTTGCCTGCTCGCTATTTGAGATTGTAAGGAATAGATTGGTAGGTCAATTATACATGTTGCTTGCAATTTTGTCACCCCTATAGAGTCTGATTTTGCCTACAAATTGATACAAATTAGGTTCATCATAGCAAACATAAACTCAATTTGTATTTACAACATTGATTAGCATTCACATGAACCAAATATCTGGAAACTCATATTAAAAATGTAATTTAGTCCACATCATGGTTTAGGAGCTAGCTTGTCAATTGTCTTTTAATTCTGTTTCTATGTAATGAGCAGTCATGTTTGGGTCAGCTTGCAATTTGCTTAAATCTGTGTGGTTATTTTGGTTCATCCTGTGAATTACTGAATATAATCTCATTAAATGGTAGGGGTCTGAGTGGAGTTTCACGGTTAAGTAAGCAATGTTCATTATTAATTGAATTGATGTTATTTGTGAGTCACTCAGGACTATTTTCTGACTATTTTGCTCAGCTGTCAGACAGACTAGAAGTTTTCAAGGGATATCACCTACAGAAGTTTCAATTGGTGTTACATTTTAGGAAAAGGCAACTTACTGGAAAAATAGTTGGTATACCTGGATAGGGTTCAGAAGAAAGCTCTTCATATTTAGAGATTGTCTAACTTTATTTTAAGAGACACTGAAATGGCATATCATCATTTCAATAAACTATTTTAATTATAACTATCTGTTCTATTATAACATGTAAATGTACACTTCAAATTTTGAAAAATATTACATGTATTAATTTTATGAAACATTAGTAGGTAATAGTAATTATAAAAAAACTTGAAAATACTAGTAATCATGCTTTTTTGTTATATCTGTATTATTATAACTCTGATATCTTCTACATTTTCAGGTCAATAGACTTAGGACAATAGACAGTCCACAAACAAAACAAACCATTAGACTGTTAAACCTTGACTGATACAAACTTCATCAATACATCCACAAACTCTGGATTTTAAATAAACAATTGCTATAGATCAGTGTACCTGTCATACGAGACAATTTATCATAACAACTATAGCTATTTAATTCAACTGGATTTGATTGGAAATTTAATTGGATATGATATTGTAAAACTGTTGTTTTATGGCTGACTATGGCCATAACTAAGCTGCACATCTGGCTTATTACAGCTGTATGAGTTTTAGCCACAGCTGCTAATTGTAGCTGTGTGAGAACTTTTGTAGATTTTGCTAATCACAGCTGCTTGAGTCATTAGCCACATTTCAGTTAAAACCTTTGCTGATTAACAGCAACCAGTTTTACTGTTTTGGAGGATTAGAGATTTAAATGGTAAAAAGAATCTAGGAACACAATAATAAGATGGATTTTGATGGATTTGGAGCATTGGATATTTAGAATGTGGAATGGATGCTTTGTGAGTTTTGCAAATTGCTTCAACATAACAGAAAAGTAATTTATAGTTTGAAGAATTAAATCACAGCTTTTAAAGATTGGAGATTTATAATTCATTGACAAAATTATTGCAATAGTTAGTGTTCTGTTTGTCTTGCCTAATGGAGGGTTAGAAATAGTAAATTTACTCATGGTATGAAAATAAAAACAAAATTTCAGAAAAGTCATTTTCATCAAAGATTTATGAAGCTGTGCACAGGATGTAAGTGCGAAGATACATTTATATAGAAATATAACGTGAGATGTACCCTATGCAAAACGGATATGTAAAAAGAAAAAAAGCGATGAATGTTGCCGAATTGCAACATTAATTCATAAAATTATGTATTGTTTTATGAGGAATTAAATTTGATTGTGATCTATATGTAATGGCTAAAGCGGATCCTGAACCGGAAGTCATAACTGAGCCCGAACCAAAAATCACAACTGAGCCTGAACCAGAAATCATAAGTGAGCCTGAACCAACCAGTCAACCTGAACCTGTCCAACCGGAACCTGGCCAACCAGAACCTTGGAATATATCAGTTGCAGAATCAGAGCCAGAACCAGAGGGAGAAGCATGGCCAGAGCCTGCGCCAGAATGGGACAAAGCAATGGATAAGTGGAAAGGTGCATGGTACTTCCATGTATACTTCTTCACCTTATTGTACATTATTATTTTCTTCATCGCAACTCTGTCACTTGTTCGACTCCTTATGCTGTACAAACGCAAAAATGTAAAGCGGCCATTAACAACTAGTTTGAACATTATGCTTTGCAGTTTTGGACTTTTACGGACAGTTTCGCTATTGCTGGATCCATATAGCGCATATCAACACATACAGTTTGAAATATCACACATTATTTGGACTGTTGGATTTCCATGTCTGACGACAGCATTTAGTATTCCCCTATTGGCATTATTGGACTCTACAAAAGTGTATATAGCTCCACCTAAGTTTCAAAAACTATCGTCAATTCTAGTGATCACACTATTCCACTTTGTGCTTGTGATAACAACGGACACTCTAGTTTTTATGGTTCCTGGGACATCCTATCTTCTGGTCATATGCCAAGTGCTTTATGTTGTTTGGGGGTTATCCCTAGCTGGGGGATATGCATTTGTGGCATATAAGATCTCACGGAATCTCAAGGCAACAGCAGATATGCATCAAAGTCAAGGTAAAATAAAGTGGTCCCTTTGTCTATATGCTTTGACTACCCAAGTTGTTCAATGTTTTGGAATGGTTGATTTTAATATTTCATTCTCATTTGATCAGATTGTTTTTTAATTCGTTATGTTTTTACTTTTAGACACTTTAATTATGACTTTTTGATTTTCCTTGAAACTGTAATACCTGCAGTTGGGTTATTGAATATTATAGGATCATGAAAAGTGAAATATCTTTTCAACCAGACCAGGTTCCAGTTGACTGATAAACTTATCATTTGGTGTTCATTTTGAGTTGAAGACCCCAAAGATGTTTATTGTACATAAAAACAGTGACTCTTATCAGTCGAAATGTTGAGACATGCGCAGAGCTCTATTTAGTGATATTTTCATTTCAAATATGGCGGCCAATCCGATGTCTGACGACCCTTACAAAGAATCTAGGCAGTGTGCATTTTTACCTCCTGTGAAATAACAAGTGGAATTTAGTAGATGTTTTGTGTTTTATTATCATTCTGCATCGTAATTCTATGTGATGTGGTGTTGAAATGTTAGCAGAAATACATATCCATACGATAATCGACTGAATCAGATAACAGATTTTTCGAAAACCCCTCTCGTGCTAAGAGTGTAAAAACTTGTATTAACATGCTCAAAAGTGCCAATGTGCACATCAATGTCAAGCTAAATCAATGTTGTGTCTAAAACAGGTACCTGATCTACTCAAAACAGCTTGTCATTCACGTATACACGCTCAGCAAACACGGCGAAATGATCTGAATCTTGGAATTTCGTTCGAGAGCTAGTAATGTTTGCTCCGGTCTTCGTCATAAGTGTTCATCAGACTTCACGCATGCGCAGGAGAAACACCATCAACCAATAACGTTTATAAATCAATTTTGCGCATGCGCCTTACAACGGTAAAGAAATTCATATTTATAAACGAACCAATTTGAGATAATCCGATATCAGTCGGAGAAATCTGACGATCTACGAAATTCACTTCAAAAAATCAAATGCGGACTGACGGCGTATTCTACTATGTTTGGATCTAAGATTTTCAGTATAGATAAAGTCTTTTATGATCTTTCGAATGAGGTAAGTCTCTAGTTCGAAAGACAATCGCATCAACTTGAACAAAAGTTGAGTTTTGACGAAAAATTTTAACATGCGCAGAAGTCCCATTTTCGTTGTACCATATTGACTGTTATAGAATTTAGGTAAATTGGAAAGATATTTTGTATATATTCAAAAATGTTAGATGGAAAATATACCATACATGTATGTTAATTGGTTCCCTTTTAATCTCAGCTACAGCAAATTATGGTCGCATTTTCCGATGATACCTGTAAGTGTTAGGAGTTATCAAGTTTCCAAATAATGCTCAGTCAAGAGACTTATAAGCTGAAGAGAAATTACTGTATTGTGTTTACATAACAGATTTCTATTCTAAAAATGGAAGAGGGGAAATGAAAGTTGCTATTTGAGAACCAATTTATCACTTCAAATTATCCTTTTGAAATATTAACTAGGCAATACTGGGATGTACTTTAAGTATCCCACCGAATGAAGTCGGTTGGATAAAGGAAAGCCGTCCTTTGTGCATTCGTCTGTCCAGGCAATAACTCAAATACTGTTTGACAGATTTGATACAAATATTATAGGCTTATGCCTTATGCGTAGGACCTCTGCTCGAGAAGGAATTTTTAATATGGCCGCTCAATTAAAAATGGCCACCATTTTTCGCAAAAAAATGTAATCTTTAAAAACTCAAATATTATTTGACAGATTTGGCCCAAATTTTATATGCTGATGCCTTGGGCAAAGGAGCTTTGCTGAAGAAGAGATTTTTAAGATTACTTCTGAATTTCAAAATGGCCACCATTTTTCCTAAAAGAACGTGATCTTTGATAAATCAAATATCATTTGAGGGAATTGGTTCAAATTTTATATGCTGCTGCCTAGAGATGAAGGAGCTTTGCTCAAGAAGAAATTTTCAAGATGGCAGCTGATATTCAAAATGGCAGCCATTTGTCATAAAAACATAATCTTTGATAAATAAATACCAGTAGACAGATTTGGTCCAAACTTTGTATGTTGACACTATAAGGGACAAAGGAGCTCTGTTCAATAAGACATTTTCAAGGTTGCTGATATATATCAAAACATTTTTTGTTCGGTGGGATTTGCTACTCGGTGGAGTTGCTTTTTTCTAGTTTTAATAAAGGGATGATGTCTATTTCTCAGCATTTGTAGGATAATGAATTAAGATAAAGGTTGGACTAAATTCATGATGAAATTGATTTTGTTTTTTCCCAGCTGTTGCCATTTTGACCCCATCGCTCCTTGTATCTTTTTTGTGTCAAAAAATATTTTTAGATAGGGATGGTTCATACACTAGCTCCCTCTATATAAAACAGTTAATTTCATTTTCACATTATAAAAAACATTACACTGGCGATTAACTCCATCTAATTGTAGCAATCTTTATTCACATGATGCTCTTTCTATTCTGTTTTAGTATGCAAAACGCATCAATGTGCGTGTATTTATGATATAACTATGTCTTGTACTCTCTTTTTATTGGTTAGAGATTCATACACTGCTCACATGGCAGATAATGCTAATTTTAGTTTAAAAATGTAAAGTAGATTTTAAGGTTGATTTAAAAAATAAAAATTTTGATTTATGGTTAACTTATAAATGATCAAAACTATTTTTATATTTTCAGATCAATGGAAATTTGGTGGATTGTTAAGTAATATCACTATATCTGCAGTAGTTGGGGTCTGTCTGACAGTGACACATTTATATGGTGCTTTTGGTGTGTTTAGCATCTTTACCTCCTTGGTGTTTGCTCCCCCCTGGCCTTGGTGGGCATTTCAAACATTGTTACGCACAATAGAAGTGGCAATGTCATTCCTAATATTCACAGTCTCGGCTAAAGTACGGGCATCCAAAGACAATAATGATACTCCAAAGAAATCCATATTGGCTAAAATTAAATGTGGATTTGGACGATCAGAAAATAAGGTTGGATCAAAATTGCATAATAGCAAGACAGTAGCGGATAGTTGCAGTTTGAAAATATCTTCGTTAAGTGCTGTAGAAGTGGACTCAACCTCGCCGCAGGCAAGGTCACCCAATGATCTCACTATTATGACTTCCCCCGTCTAAAAATGGCATTTTTCTTTATTATATGGAACATAATTCAAAGTTCCAGTTGAAAAAATTTTTTATTTCATCACTACATATTACCTGTATTATTCTATTCGCCAATTTTTGTGGATAGTGACTTGCAGTTGGGGTTGGCGTCTGTAGCAAATGGCAGGTGGTAACATTTTGCATGTTGATGCCACCCATTTGATCCAAAGAATTGACCAATCTGTGGCCCTTTGTAAGATGTAGATGCCTACCATGCAAATCATGTTTTTCAGATAGGTGCTAATTTTGCTCAAACACTTGAAATAGAGAAACAATAAGAATAAAAAATCAATTTTGTCATATTGATTTTCAATAGATATCACAGATACAGTTTAGTGATTAAGATTGCAATACAAAACTGTATATTATAATTTATTGATGAATGCAGTCTCTAGCCTTGTAAATATGCGGGTTGGTACAATTTCATATTGCCCAATCATATGACTGGTTGCTCCAGTGGCTGAAAGTGTAATCATATACATGAAATTACAGAGTGGGCCAAAAAAGACCCCTGTATAATTTATTTTGTGATAGGCCTATTTTTAATAATGCATGCATTTTGAAATATCTTTACTGGATATTCTGCAATTGCTATTAAAGGCAAAATCAGATCTCCAGGGGTGATAAAATTTCAAGCAACATGTACAAATGACATACCAATCTATTCTTTACAATCTCAAATACAATATCTCCCAAAAGATACACGATATGTGAACTTTTGGGATTTTTAGAAAATGGACATGACAAGGAATGACATGAGCAAGAAATATTCTAAAATTGAAACAATTTTTTTGTTGGCCTGCTTGCTATATCTGATTCTCTCTTTAAGTTGCCTGTTAAGATCACCAAATGTCACATGCTGAAAAAATAATAAACAATTTGTATAATTTTCAAAATGCTTAAACATGAAAATTAACATTCAGTTACTTAATTTGAATGAGAGCCACTGGGCTCATATAGATGGTAGTTCACTCAACTTCTCTAGTGAGTTGTTGTATACCTATACTATAGTTGTAATGTACATATTGCTGCCTTAAAACTCTGAATACATTAGGTACATCAAATTGATATCACATTTTCTCATCATAGTTATTTAGTAACATATTCTAAGTTTCAATACCATGAAGATTGGGATATTTCCTTTGAAATTCAATTTAGGAGATTTTTGAAGCAATTTTTACATGTTTAAAGTATACAACTTAACCCACTGAATTTTTCGCCATCTATTGGCAGTACTTAAGGCCATTGAAGCAAAATTAGTCTTTTTTGTTGAATATTGGAAGTTCACTAGTACATTGATGAGTTGCATGTTTTGATTAATGTGTAATAAAATTATGAAAAGTTACATCATGTTTTGTTACTTAACAAAAGAAGATATTTTACGATGGGTTGATTTCTTTAATACCATGCAATGAACATAAGTTTAATTCACAAGATGATATTTAATACCACTTTATTCAAACACCTAGTGATATTTCTGTGATATTGTTAATTAACCCAAACCCTGGTGGTGAAACTGGTAACTACCTAATTGCATCCAAAAAAACTTCTATGATAAACAGTAAGGTAATTACTCAGATGCGAGTAGGTAGTTACCAGTTTCGCCACCAGGTGGCTGAGTCGGGGGAAATAACATGGCAGGGTATTACAAAATTCCCTTAAACTTGAATATTCATCAGTTGTAGTGATTCACTTTTCATATTACCCTTTTGTATCTGATAGTTATACAAATTAAAATATGCCCAGTAAAAGAAAATATTATCTGCCCAACACAAGAAAATATATTTCCCTTTTTGTGATTTTACAACATGGGCTCTATGGGGAATCCCCCCGACCTAGAAGTCACATTTTCAAAGAAAATTAAATTTTCAAAGTAGATAGACTCTTTTCAAAACCACATTTCTAGATGTATTTCTACATGTAGATTCCAAATATGACATCAGTTTGACTGAATTTTGAATTTTTGATGACGTAAATCAAGATTATTTCTACTCGCATCTAGTCTATTGTGTGAGTGAATCACTTTTGGTACCTTAATATAATGTTCCACTTGAGAGGTGTTCCACTAAATAGAGAGGTTCATTTCACATAAAGTTAGAAGTATAACAGGACTTATGGAGATATTCTATTTGCCGGAGACTGTTCAACTTTACAAGATTCACTGTACATTTTTGCATTTGCTTCTTTATATATCATGCCATCTATAAATCAAGTCAGAAGTTTTAGCTTATTCCGACTAATATGGAACTATGAACTATGAATAGTTTTAATTCTACATTGAAAAATTTCAGGAATCTTCCTTAAACATGGAAAGGTTGATTTAATTAATTGGGGGAAATTTAATTTGATATTGGCGATTTGGTACGTTTTGCAAAAATACCCTGAAATACTATTAGACCTGCAGCAAGAAGGCCAAAAATTGGAAGTTTAATTTCCAAAATACTAATAGATGAATTAAATACCATTGGAAAGTTTGTATACTCAGGTGTATGGAATCAGAGCTACATAAGGTGTCAAAGTTGTACGTTTTTTAGGAAACGCTATTGTTGCAGGTGCCTGTTACTATTAAACTGGGATATAAACATGATTTTCACCTTTTTGGACATAACTCTATCAGTTTCATTTTGATTTTAATCTAGTTAGCATCATTTTAAAGCTTTTTTATCAGAGATTCGACCTTTATAGCATTGTAATCATACTCACATGGTTATTTTCTGAGATTCATATATAAAATATTTTGTATATACATAATGTACAGATATAGAAATCACCAAGTTAAAGTGTTTACAGTATTTGTAACTATTCTGTCACCTCATTACTTTAGCTATGTAACCATTTATTTAAATGTCATTTATTGTTTGTTCCATATAAAATACATCATCTAGTTGCAGACTGTATGACATGTTGACTTGTGATAAAACACTTAAATTAATGAGACCCTTAAGAAAAATATCATAATATGTTGTCATGTATTGAAACGCAAAATGAAAAGTGGAATTAGCAGGGAATAAAGTAAGGAGATAAGTAAATAACCTAAATTATGTAGACATATAATACCAAGGAATCAGATTGCATTGTTTGCCAGAAATTTATAGCTTTTTAATTATTTTAAAATTTTTTGATATCAAATGAAACCAGGTGTATGTCTTAAAATGCTTTAAAAGTATAGTAGGTAATGGACACTTTAAATATTTCTGTTCCTGCATTAGAAAGATCTGTCCCAGAGGAATCATCTGCCTGCCATCTCACCCAACAATATCTTCCCACATTATAAATTAATACTGTCACACTTAAAGGTGATAGTTGAGACAGATATTCATTTAGAATTTGGAGGAATAATAAAAATCACTTTATATGTGACATAAATCATGGAGGCCTAGATAGAAGATGTAAGACATATGTTGACACAATTTAACTTTTTTTTGTTCAACAATTAATGTCCATGGAGCAGCAATACCAACAAAAAATGTTGGTAGAGATTTATAACTAGGCCTATTTAACATTAGTTTAGAATTTTAAATGTGTCAACTGTCAAAACTGTGTCAGCTTGCATCATTCTGATAAGTTTAAAATTTATCATATGTCAGTTTGAGTCTGGGAGATAAATGGGGTGAATATATGTTATTTGTTTACACCATTTTTGTCCATTACTATCTAGGCTCTGGGGATATACTGTACTCCCACAGATATTTGACGCTATTATATTTCGCGTTTTTGGCATTTTGAAATTTCACAGCTATTATATTTCGCTAATTTTCAGTTTTTTGAAATTTTGCGGCATATTAACTTCCGCAGATTTGTCATACAGGATCACTCTTTCGACTTTGATATCAGCCATGGTTTTTAATACAGTAATAAAGGTCTTTCTTCTAATTTTCTTTTTCAAAACTCAAAAGGTCGCATTTTTACCTATTATCGCCCAGCACTGAACAAAAATATTGTCAACATTGAAATCCCTGGGAATTTCGCAACTATAAAATTTTGCGAATTAGAACTGTAGGAATTTTGCAGCTATTATATTTCGCGAATTTTCCAAAACTTGCGAAATATAGTAGCTTGCGAAAATTACCGGGAGTACAGTATATGTTATTTGTTGACATCATTTTTGTCCATTGCTATCTAGGCTCTGGAGATATACCTCTAGTATTAACGTACCTATGATATAAAGTAAGTAGGATAACTTAATTATATTTGGTAACATGCACTAGCAAGTTAAAGTTGCAACAAAAACATAGAGTAAATTTCTAGAATATATATGCACAATTTTAAAATATTTTTTGTTCACAATTAACATCCCATTAAGTCGCACAATCTCTCAAATGTCAACTTTTTCAGATAAGAAAATTGGGATTTAAAGGGCAACATTGGCATGCGTTTGGAAGATTGCTACCAATGTTTTACACATTCATTCATTCTCCTATGTTCTTACTTTGCTAGAGAAAGATGTTTACATGGTGTAAGTAACAATTTTTGGGGTATATTTTAAATCCTTATCAGAATAATGCTATTGAGTTTATTAAGTGGACTTATTGCAATATATTTTCAGTTCATACTCACACACTGTGCAATTGTGCAAATAAAGGTGGACAGTTATTCCAAGGGGACAATAAGGACAAGTCATTTAGACATGAGTGGGAATAAAAAACATGGGTGCAATATAAATGGTCCACCCACTTAAACTGCCCTTTTGAATTGACGATTCAAAAAACAAAAGGATGCATTTCGTTCCAACATAATTTATTAACTGGTCTACTTTAGGACTCAGTAAAGGTTAACAACTAACAGCATTGTGATGTCACAATAGAGAAGATATGATGTCACAAAAGAAACAATGATGTCACAATAATGAATGAAAGTAAAACATGAACTTTCGATGAAATATCATAATTTTCAATTATGCAATTATGGTTGACCATATAAACTGTAGAAACATTCATAAATGTCACAAAAACAATTTACCATGTGAAGTACTGTATAGACCTATATGATTGTAAACCTAGAAAATTTTGCATGAAAAATACTTTCATGGACACAAAATGTGCCCCTTTTAAGATCTTTGGACAGACAAAAAATATGAAAATTGTAAAATTGAAGCATGCTAAATTTTCTAGATTAACAGCTAACCATAAATATAAACAATGAAAAACACATATTTGCACATCTGCCAACTATGTTACAGATAGATAATAGTTGCTTAAATAATTGAATAAATAGTTCTGTAATACCACCAAAATAAAGTATTAAATATACCAGTTCAGTATACTGCAAAGTCACAAGACTAATACACAGAGATATGGATTGTAGTGATCACCCAAACAATAACAATAGCAGTAACTGGCGCTACATCCTGTCTTGCCAAAATGGTGAAATATTTTGACCAAAATGTTTCAAATTAAGATTTTTAGCATCCTGCTAAAAACCCTTGGGAGATAACTGATGGATATGCTTCTCTTATTTAACAGCTGAAATACTTTAGTACAACAATATATATAAAGTTTATTTTCTTTGGCTTTGCACTATAACTGTACTTAGTTCTGGAACTTGCAGTTTCTAGTAACCAGATCTGAGATAATATTTCAATATAAGGGTATGCTTTTAGTCTATTAAAATTAAAATGACAGTTAGGAACATGTATTTTTTATCATAAAGACACTGTGTTTTAAGTAAAATCCACTGGGAAGTTCAGTAAGCAGGATCAAAAATAGATGAACCTATAATTGAAATAGATGAAGCAAATCTAAATAGGTGAGGGAAATTGAAAAAAGGTGAAGCAAAATGGGATATAATACTTTAATTGGACTTCATTCTCAGTTTAATGTTTTGAAACAACACAATATTAAAAAGATTTAGACAGTTGATTCACCTGATCATACAGACAATACGCCCATGCAGATTGGGTGATTAGGATTCAAGCTCATCCCCACGTTAATTGACTGAATAATCAAAATGGAATTCCTTGCAGCTGATCTCAAAATTAATTGAACATCGATGTCATGCTAGCCCTTTTAAATCATTTTGTGGTGTTTTTTATTCATTATTGCGGTGTGTCAACAAAGATTGATTTTTTGTGGTGTGCAATTTTGATTTTTTTGTCAATGATTATAAGACTGTCAATGTTACAAAGCTGATCACTTTTACAACGCAAAGTTCTGAAATCAAACTACAAGGAAATGTAATTTTAATTGTCAAGTAGTAAATTATGTCTTATTATCAAGAAATGAGAACTAATCTGACATGAGGTTTGGTTACCCTGATGGTTGGTTACATATTTCAATATTACCATGGGGTATAGTTTCAAATTTTCATTACTTTTTGATTTCAGAAGTGAATAAGAGATAAATCACAGTGTCTTTACATAACATTGAGTTATCACCAGCAGTGATCTCCCCATCATTAAAGCAAGTTGGTGCAGCACTCATCTGAGATTTTAAAAACAGCCTTGCACCCACCTGGTAATTCATTTGCACCCACTTAAAAATGAGGAAAATCATTAAAATTGGCATAGTTTGACTAAATTAGGTCTCAATTGAGAACATTTTGCACCCACTTGACAAAAATCCTAGGGAGTATGCTGAGTATAGTGAGTTATCACCAGTATAACTCACTATAATAACTCACTCTTGTTTGTGTCTAAAATGATAATTCACAACACCTCTATACATCTATATACCAAATACATTAACAGATATACCGGTATTGTACAATGTTTTTAACCGGGACTTTAACTGGGTCACTTAATATTACATAACTCTGCTGAAAAGAAAAAGATACAAAGGCAAGCTATATACTCATAAATTAGTCACTTAAAATATTGCAGTAAATTGATGTTTTTGTTGATGTCAGGTCATCTCTTAAAAATGGGATGTCAGGTCATCATATTATAACTTAGATGTCAGGTCATCAAATTATAGCTTAGATGTCAGATCATCATATTATAACTTAGATGTCAGGTGTATTATAACTTAAATGTCATGTCATTATAGGACACTTCTGCACTTAAAAAGTGGGTGTGTATGACTCGAAAAACTTATATCACACCCTAACAGTAATTTTTTTAAAAAGTATCAGTCATCCAGGAATAAAATCACTTGCTCAAAGTTCTCTACAAATAATAAAGACTTAATGAAGTGAAAATTCTAGCGAATCTCATATTCCAGAATATCTTTGAAGTTTTATTAAGATGTCTTAACAGTATGAAACTTCAAACAAAGGTTGTAAGTGTAGATATGATTGATATGCCATCTATACTGAGGTATATACATAAAATATTTCCAAGGCACTCAGATTTTTTTTATTTCTGAGAATAACAAAGGGCAATGAGCCAAAAAATTTCAGTAACAGTTTGTTAACTATATGATAAAAATGAATAACAGACAGACTTTTTAGTTACCTCTTTAAAATATTGCATATATGCTTTTAAGGTAATGCCTTGATATCATTTGACCAAATCATTTCGAAATTGTAAAGCCATTTTTTGCTACATTTACTTGCATCAAACATTTCCTTATTACCCTTAAATATAGCCTTGCCCAAGTCGGTCTCTTTTACTTATCTTGATTTTTATTATGACCATTCAAGATCAGATAAGTAAAAAATACCAACTTGGGCAACACTACTTAAAATAGTGCCATCAGTGATTTATTAATTTCATCTGATCTTGGCCTTTAACCAAACCTTGACAATCCTAAAAGGTAAAATTGGAATTTAGAGGTGAAATGTCTCTCAATGTCAATGCAAAAAATAAAAGACCATACATTTTGGTAAACAAAGAGTGACCCGATTAATCAACCTTATTTCATGTATTTTGCATTTTTCTGCAATATATTTTTGGTGGCATGGCATGAGCAGTTTTTTAGGTGTGGTGTGCAATTTTTATTGCTTACAACATGAAATAAGCAAGTTTAATTTGGCATCAAATATGTGGGTCAATATGCAGTGTGAACCAATATGCAAGTACATTGAAAAGAAAGTGGTTTTACTGATGAGATATGCATTTTGGTTAAACTACAAAAAACTTCCTCAGCCATTTTTTAGAAATAATTGCACAATTCAACAACATTTTATATATTGAGAGCCCCTGTATCCCATCTCCCAATCCTGCTCTTTTAACACATTGTTAGGAGAGAGCCAGGGAGGGGTATTTATAGCCAACAATATTTGTGTGCAATAAATGTTTAATTTGATGTCCTGAGATGTAAGAGATAAGTGCTAGTTATAATTTCAGGTCTTGAATATAATGTTGAACAATAACAGGGAGTCCATTTTAAATTAGTGATCATGCAATGATCATGTTACAATTTTTCAAAAACATTCTATTGATTAACTAACCTCAACTAAAAATAGAGTGCAGTTTCACACTAAAATCATCAATTAACAAATAAATTAATCTTATCTAAGATAAATTAATCTTAAATGCATTACCAAGAATGGTAAATGGAAAAATATCAATCTAAAAAGGTTAGTAAACAAAAATGTTACGTGAACCAATGTGTCCTAAAGAGAAAATGGGAATTTGTCTTGTCTATACAGGGTGGGCCAAAAAAAACCAATACCCAACTTCAAATCAGGATAAAAATAGTTACATTCAATATGGTACATTGACTTACATATCATTTTAAAGGTTATAAAATTTCAAACAATTTGGTATATAACACTATGTCATGAAATCAATAGTAAGATTTTATTTTACTTTTTTGGGTGGCCGGGTTGCTATTTAAGGTCTCCAGATTTAAGGGAGAAAATAGTAAATCTGCGGAATTATGTTAATTTTTTATTGATAGAATATCATTCTTATGTTAGGTGAACAAATGCTTGGATGTTGATATTTGCATCATTGTGTGACTAAATTTATTGTTTATGAATTTCAGTGTTGTTTAATGACATTTTACACTTTATTTATTTAAACAATTTTCACAATTGCTCAATATACCCCCACCCCTCCCCTCTGCATCAACAATAAGCTTCAAGTGGTAGCGCAATCTATCAATAGCCGTATTTAGAGATTTCTGCTGCAATTCATTTCAGCACTTTAGGATTCTGTTTCAGCTCATCAATGCTGTTTATCGGATGCCATTTCCTCGAGATGGCTCCATGTATGGAAATCAAACACATTAGCATCGGGGCTGTTTGGGTGGGCAAGCATCGAGATCAATCAAATTGACACCTTGTTTGCAAAGAAATGCCAATATCTCCTTTGGTCTATGGTACGAGGCAATGTCTTGTTGGAAAATAAAATCCTAGTCACATATACGTTTAATGTCTTTTAACAGACCCCCTTTGAGTACTTATTGATAATAAACAACACTAAAATTCACAAACAATAAGTTTTGTCACACAATATGCAAATATACAAGCATGTATTCACCTAACAAAATGATATTCTATAAATAAAAAATTAACATTATTCCGCAGATTTACTATTTTCTCCCTAAAATCTGGATACCTTAAATACCGACCCGGCCTCCCAAATAAGCATAATAAAACTTTAATATTGATTTCATGACATAGTGTTATATACCAAATTGTTTGAAAATAAATTACCTTTAAAATGATATATAAATCAATGTATCACATTGAACATAGCTATTTTCATTCTGATTTAAAGTTGGGTATTGTTTTTTTTTGGCCCACCCTGTATAGTATAGCATACTAGCATACCTTTAAACATACAAATATAAAATATCTAATTGTCATAACAGATTATTTTTAAATATTTTATAGCTTTTTCCATTTTTGTTTGTTTTTCAATCATCCAGATTTCATACACACATTTATATACGTCTCACAAGAGTAGTTCTAAGTTCCTGAGAAAGATATCACTGGCAACTAGATGAAAAATCACAAGAGATATAAATAGATGTCTCTTTTGTTGAAATCCTGGAGTAAACGCTTGAGTAAACACATGTTGTATGAGATGATATGACCATCACAATCTGCCTATATATATATACTACCTATCTTCCTATATTAAATATAACAATTATATAATTTATTTAAAACTTTGTCTTTCAGCACAGTAGGCTGTTATTTACGTCAAATCATATTTCAGCGCCTTGAATCATAAGCCAATTTCTCGCCAGATCGTTCTCAAAATTCCTCACATTTCAAGACATGTTTAGCACCTGTTTTGGCAACTGCGGGCAGCGGGCTGTTTTCTCGTCATATGCTGACGATTTGTTTTCCCCAAGAATTTATGTTGCCTAATTTTATTAGTGCGCTCAAGCATATTAGGGCTCAGACGCTTAGATGTTTGTTTTTGCTGGGATCTTTGCATAGATTTTGTATACTTTACTAAAAGTCCTGCTCTGTCTACAACAGGGGCTGGACGGCGGGGTGACCGGCGAAGCACAGGTTGTGTATCCTCAATATCTGATGTTTCGCCAGTGGAAGACACTGATTGGTCGCTTTCACTTCCTCTGCTGTCACTTCGATGTTTCCCGTAGACGGACATACTTGGGTGCTCTATAAGTAAATCCTCCAAGGGGTTAGCTACTATTGCATGTGGGGAACGGCCCCCTTTTATAAAACAAGGGGGTGGGGTCATAAACCAACTTTCGTTTGGCCCCACATGATCAGGAATAGTTGGTGTTGAACGAGATGAGGAGCTAGGCGTTGACTTATTGGATGATTGATACAAAGAGGGTGGAGTTACAGTTTGGTGGTGTGGTATGAAAGATACAGGGGTTTTGAAATCGTCCCCTTCGTAAACATTACCAGGAAGTTCTGCATCATTACACGTCATTACTTCTGAAATACAAAATAAGCGGATGTTAGTCTCCTGTTAGTAATACCTGTCCCTCAATCTTTTAATCACCTCTCTTTATTTCAGTTTTTCAAATGGTGTCCATACAAAAACATTTAAATGCTTTTAAATAAAGGAGATTTCTGCAGCATGTCTTCAAATAAAGGGGATATTAACTTTATTGGTCAACACTGAAATTAAAAGTTATGGATGCACAAAAAAAGAATGATGATTTATAACTTTTCTTCATACGTTTCAGTCTGTGCATGGTGTCAGGCATTTCAAAGTTCATGCAAGCAGTTATCTGTATCACTTGATTTATATATGCAGAGAGATTTTTACAGATGGGTATGCCAAAATTAAGTTTAACAGGATCTCTTCTGTGTATGTAAATCAAGCATGCATGTTATGTATCAGTTGTACTCAATTTACAAAATATTAATTATAAACAAGAATATATATACAATTGTTGTTTTGTTCATACCACACCACCAACTCCCCATTTCAATATAATAATAATAGAATATGGAATTTTCTAGCAGTAAATAATTTAATTTTAGAATAATATAAAATAAAATTGTATTCATTTGCGGATCACACTTTTGGCATCACACCCAATATATAGTAAACTGGATACAATATCAGTTATCACACGTTTCAGCATGTGGATATATTCAACGAAATGTTGCACTGTATCATCCACAAAAGGGAAGCTTGAGTGGTGATACATTGTCACCCAAGTGGAATATTTCCTGTATCACATGAGCTGAAACATGTTTGATCTACTGATATAAACCAGCTCCATATTCTCTCATTAAAAAGAACAGGAGCCCTTGAAACCACACAATTTTGAATCATATGACTTTCATTGCTTATCATTTCATATCAAGCTTGTGATGTACATGTCATAACACCCTTTTGGCTATCCTTAACTAATTAACAACTGCATCATGTGAATTGATGTAAGTGTATTTATTGTTAACAGGGGGTCATTTACAGAAACTTTTGCAAATTACAGATTTCCGAAATCAATTGTTGCAAGCATGGATAAAATGACATTATAATATGAGAACAATGAACTTAAAAGGAATTCCTGTTTCTGTTAACGACTCCAGGCTAACTTAGCAAGAGAAAGGGACACCATTGATGGCCCAGGAAAGATGGTTCAAAATAATATAGTACTAGCCCCTTCTATTTGTAGTGTTAAAATGCATATTAAACATTGATTTGATTGCAGCCATACTCAGACATATATGAATGAACTCTGCATGCAAAGGATTGGTATCGATGTGGTGAACTTTTTAACACATGTTTCTCTTAAACCAGCCATCAAATAATTCTGAAAATTTCACACATAGTCAATTTAATTGTCATCATTTGAATGGTAACAATATAATTTGAAAAATATTCTCTATATTGTTTTAGATAGCACATCAGACACTTCTTTTGTTCTTGGTATTATATGTTCGGAATGAAATGAAGCATCTATCCAAACCTCATGACAAAATGACATAAAAACAACTTGTTTAGGTCTCTCAATATTGTAATGGTACAAAGGAAAGTTGGTTCATTTTACTTTTCTTAAATCAACCAAAATTTATTTTGTATAACTATGATATTGAAGGGTCTAAAAATGTTGTTCTATTTTGTTCCAACAAGGTTCAGGAAGATAGTTTATTTCATTCTCAAGAATTGGTAGAAAGGAACATAAAACAATTGCACTGAAAAGAACAAAAAATGTTAACAAAAACAGTTTTATAAAATATATATAAATAATTTTCGCATTAAATTGTTGTCAATCAGTCAACATTACATAAAAGGTTTTTTTACAGAATGTTTTCAATAATTGGTTTAGGAGAAAAACATTGTTGAATTCAGTTCACCATAACGATACCAATCCTTTAAACTTTTTTCCTGAAGAAATCTTTTGTTGCTTCCCTTTAAATGAAGAATTATACTGGTTTACAAATAACATTAAGGTTTTGGCCATCTGCATCAATATAAGTTCCCATCAATTATATACAAAAAAAAGCTTTTCTAAATCCTTCTTGAAACTTGGATTTGAAATGTATCAATATCTGGATTTATAAATGTCTATAAATTATACTTTGCATCTGCCATTGTTTTCTCTGAAGGGAACTATTTCCTTGTGATGATATAGACAGGAAAGTTGTAGATATAAGTCAGGGCCAGGGGCATAGACAGAATAAAAAATATGTGGGCAAAATAAGTGGTAAATGCATGACTACATTTGGATATCACTTCCAAGCTATATTTCTGTAAAGTTTTATGGTAATAAAGTTATGGATAAAGTGGTGAAGTTATGGATATAGTATATTGAAATTACAGACAAAGTTCAGTTTTGGATATGATAATCAATAGTACTGAAGTTATGGATAAATGTGGCATCAGTTATGAATTTAAGTAGTAAAGTTATGGATAATGATAGATATGGTATTAAAACTAATTGGTTAAGTTGTGGATGGTAAAATTCCATGAGAGTTCCATTAGAATGTCGGACAAAAGGCAAAACAAATAAAAAAGCAGACAAAATTATTGAAAATTATGATTTTAACATTTTTACAGTTGAAAAAATCCCTCAAAACAACAGGAAATTTAGCAAAACCCGAACCTGAGAAACAACAGGAAATTTAGTAAAACCCGAATGAGAGAATGAAATACCTACCCCCAGATTTGTCTACTAGGACCCAGTCACTTGCCTCCGTTGGGGTAACAGTCAATTCTACCTCACCCTCAGGCACTTCCTCATTCTGACCGAAGAGATAGCTTGCAATAGAGTTGAGCATCTTGTATCAGTTGAGCTGGTGATTGTGTTGACTGGGTTGTGCTCTGGATTGTGATTTTACTTTGGTTGTGCTGATTGTGCCCTGAGTAATTTCTCTGTTGAGTATGTTCCTTTTGGTTCTTTTTAGTTAAAGTTGATTTCTCTAAAAATACAAAATAGCAGGAAATCACATTTATACCCATAAAACATTTCTCTATTCAGTCGTGCTATTGGGTTGAGTTTTCACTTTGGTTGTGCCCTAAGTAGTTCACCCAGTATTTTCTATATTCTGTAACATACTTTTAATGACTTATTTTTCTACAAAATACATAAGGACTATCATATTATCCTTAGACCTAAAAATATGTGGCTTGCAAATCACACTGACATAATAAATATACTGTAAGAAAAAGCTTTTTGAAATTGAAGATATTGCGTCATTTGGCTTTTTCTGGGTAATCTCATCATGCTTTCATTTCTTAATAAACAAAGGAAATGTAATTCAATATGAACTCCATTATTTGATTGTTCATATTTCTTAGATTTTAACAAACATTCATTAACAATTAAGAAATAATGTCACTGCAATAATTCTTATCTTATTTTCGTCATGTCGACTGTCTTCAATTAAGTTGAAAGCAGTAATTTCTACAGCTTGGAGCATAAATAATGCAGTCTTATCAAGTCTCTGAAAGTCCCTCACCCTGTTATTTCTCCGCTCAACTTTTTGTTTCCGTCCTCAATCAATTTCCCCTCTATCCTACAGTGTATATCTACATTTATCCCATACTTGGACGTGTTTCAGGTACATAAAGTAGGTTGTAGAAACTTATATTTTCATCAGCGGGCAGATATAGCTTATAATACATCCCGGCCATTTCCCATATCTATTTCCCCTCTTTTCCCTTTTCCCCTACCAATTCCATTTCCCCCTGACATTTCTCAACATACTGTAGATACACTTAATTTGGCTCCCACTTTATTTTGACTGATTGGCAGATTCAGAAAATCCGCCAAATTAAAAATCTGTCAAATTTTAGATTGGAATTTTTGTCCAACGCACCGTCAGAAAATAAACTTCTGGGGTCCCTTTTCCTGTCAACATGTCAACAATTCTACATTATTCCAATAGAAATACAGAAAATATCTTAGTAAATACCTGTCCTAATGACATAAACATAAACAAAAATTAAACTTCAGTCCTGAATCCGCCAAATCAAATAGCCACCAATATTTGAAATTGAGCAAATCCATCAAATTAATATTTTGAGACAATCACTATAATATCTATTTTAAAAATTTACTGTTTCCTGTGCCCACTCACATCTAATATGTAATGACAATAGCAATTCATTGAAATGAGGAAAATTCATTAAGTGAGAAGACAGACAAGAACTTCTTAATAATTATTAACATAGGTGATGAATGTTGTTTTTGAGAGAATATGAGTGAGTCAGGACAGTATAACCGTCCTTGCATTGACATTAAGGTTTCATCAACTATAATCTATTCTTGACGAACATAGTGAATTAATCTTCCATCTATGGCACCATCGCATTTGTCTGTCTTCATTCTGTATCTAAGCTCCGGGATCAAGGTATCTTTCCTGTGGGTGGGTAAATCAATAATATTCATGGTGTAAATTAGTGCAGCACTACTAAGCATACTTTAATTGTCTATGGAAACACTGAGGGATCCAGAAGCTTACAAAGGGGGGGGGGGTCTGGGCCCACAAAAGAGGGAATGGGCCCAGACCCCCCCCCCTCCGGATCCGCCAGTGGGAAACAGGTTATGAGTGAGCCATATTTAGAGGCACAGTTGGTCAAAGAGAACATTTTGGTAATTTTTTGATGTTATTCATGTATGTTATAGCAACTGCCAAATTCTGACTGTTTTGATTTTGCGGTTGAAGTCCCCAAAATTGCTGATTCATCATTAAACTGTTGCCTTATATTTAGTCCTTTACTGAAATCATATAGTATGTAGGATCTGTTTGGAAAGCAATGAATCTAATTACTGACTGAATTATTGGCCCATTTAATTCAACTTTCAACAGAAATTACAGTTTTATCAAACTTGTTAATAAGCAGTTCATTCTCACCTGCAGTTTTATTTCAATTACCTTTATTTAATTCAAATTACTATGTACATACACAGGCCTGTCAACTTGGGAACACCTAACATGAGTGACTTGGAAATGTTGAACACCTCCCCTCAAAATGTGGACACCTTGGTCCAAATCTGAACACCTTGATCCAAACTTTGAACACCTTGGTTTAAATTTTAGGACATCTTGCCAAATTTTGAACACCTCAAATTTTTCGCGCTCGCTACGCTCGCGTTTCAAACATCCGTCAAACGGGGGGGGGGGGGGGGGGGGGGGGGGGGGGGGCGGTACAAAAAATTTCGAACGGAATGCGTGACATATACGTAATTCGCGTGAAAAGTCCGAACGAAATGCGTACGTTTTTTTTTCCGGCGTTCGTATTTTTGCTGTGTAGACGATCTTTTTTAGAAATTTTTCTACAGAAATATTTTTGCTTGACAATTACCAGGTAAAATGCGTATTTGCGTGACATTTTCTGTCACGCAAAAATAACTGGCGTGACTTCAAATTCTTCAGCAAATGCGTGACAAATACGCAAATTGCGGGACAGTTGACAGGCCTGCATACATCAGAACACAGAATTTGTGATTACACAATGTAGATAAACCACTTAATAACACACATAACAGATGGTTATATATGTGTAAATGGCTGCAACTACCCTTTGCAGGATTGACCCTCTTCCTCCACCACTCTTTACATATCAGATAAACATATAGCCTTCAAGCCAATCAGAGCCTGGTGTAAACTCAGCTGATAATTTAAATTACTACACATGCATTCCAGTTTCTGTTATAAATGGTTTAAATAGCAATCTGTAAAATGAGTGATCCTTGTCAGAGTGCAATGTACCACATATAGTATGAGATCAGGGTAAGAGTTGTGTCATTTCCAGTGATACTTGTGCATAATACATTAATTAGATTTGATTAACCTAATCATCAAAATAGATACATGTTATTCAAGACATGACATATGTGTTATTCAAGACATGACATATGTCATCTTACATTCAGTAATTCAAAACAATGAACAAACTTAATGCAATTTTAAAATGGAATTAATAACATGTATGTCCATTCAACTGCTAAATTCCAGCATACAAAGAAACATCCTTTATTGGAGTATTTCTGTCCAATTATTCCACAAAGTTGATGTGACTTCCAATAATGACAAAACAATAACCAAACTAATCAATTACAATTTTTGAAATTGAATGAATGAAATATGTACATTTCCATAAGCAAATAAACTTACTATAATGGGTATTTCTGTCCAAATACAAAGGTGATATGACTTCCATAAAAAGCGATGAAATATGTCATTAACCTTGTGAGACTTTTTCCTGAAACAATTGAGCTTGAGTGACGTATTAAAATGTTTTCTTTATAATGTCTATGTTTTTGACAATGTGAATCAAAGCTTTGCAAATTTTACAATTGGTAGAAATAATGAAAGCTTCAAAATCCTGGAAATCAAGATATAAACCATTTTATTACTTTTAAAATTAGATATATAGAATTGAACTTTAATCACTTTTCACAGATAATATGAAATGGGAACTACATAATGGCGTAACATTTAAAGTACAGTTTTTGGACATGCAACTGAGGTTGCACATCGAATCAACTGAAACTTCATATTTAGGCAATGATTAAATGGCTTTCGGCCAAACAAGTTGTATGAAATATTATGTAAAAGTCTGTCCTTAAATTCCCTTTCCTCTTTGGATGTATTATCTTTTCAGGTCAAAATTGCTAAGGTGAATCATGTTACATGTGATTATTTTGAAAAATTATTTTAAGAAACATTCATTGAGAGGCAAAATAAGTTACAAATTGTTTTGTAGTCTGATTTACTCAAACTTATTTACATACGACTTTATTAAAGCCATATTAGTATTAGAAACAAAACAAAACTGTGGGATGGTTTGAAAAACCTCAATCCATCTATTCATAATTAGATTCCAAATCAAGTAATTTTGGGAATTTTCAATGCGAAATATTTTAATTTTTTGGAAAAATTCAAATGTTACAGAATATAATATTAACCAGTTCAACAGCGCCATCTATAGACAGTCTTGTTGAAGAAAAAAAATATTGAGAACAGCTTTAAATAACAGTTAGGGAAAATGTGGGTCTGGAATTGTAAGTATCTTTGTCTAATATGTATGTCGCATATCCTCACGCTTAAACCAAGACAGGCCTCAGGGCATTTTATATCAGAAACCATAATGACATCATAGTAACTTGAGCAGCAGTTTCTGTTAATGACTCCCTGGACAATAATCAGAGTTTTTTGCTTTCAGCAGGTAATAGTGAATTAAAACCTGAGTCATCTTGTAAAGGAACAATGTCCATTTGCTAAAGTTGGTTTAAGAGATCAAGAAATTAATTCAGAATAGCAGGGTGCGCATCTATTCACTATCACTTTTTGTGGAAATTGGAGTTATTCAATTATAGTTGCTTGTCTTTGATATCTACAATAAAACTACTCTGGCAACTTCAGTTTCAAGCCCTGATATACTTTTTTTATACAGACATATAATGCATAAGTTATCATAACCAATTATAGGAATGAGATGGGTTATTTCATCTTTACAAATAATTATATCATATGGTTTCCTTAGCATCATGATGTCATTGTTACCATGGCAACCATATATTAAGAGGATAGCATCAATAAATAAATTCAAGGCCTGTGATAAAAATACCATGGAGCTCAGTTTTATAAATGTAAATGAAATAAATCAGAAAGGATATGAATGAACAAAGAATATTAAGAATACTTTGATACGGGCTGACATGAATTAGCTTGCACTTGAAATGATAGAAAATATGAGAAAATCAGATAATTTGTTGTGATTGGAGAGAAACTGAGTGGAATTAGGCATTGACCAGGGGTAACTTTATTCACTGGTTGATATCAGTTGAACTTGGCATTTAGGGTGAATGCTCTATATTAGACAAGCAATTTCCGTCATTGGCACCCTTTGAACCTTACAAGAGCTTGACTAATACTATACTCTTAAAATCAGAGATCAGATGGTAATATCAAACAACATGTAGCATTGCACATACTGTATAAGTGGTCATTTTGCCTAATCATTTAATTTGCATATTTCCTAATTTTTGCCAGATTCGGAAAATTAAATGTCGGAAATATTGTCTTTATTATGTCATCCAATGGGAGGTTTCTTGTCATTAGGAAAATTAAAATTAGGAAAAAGTTGAAATTTGACCATTTGGAAAATTAACCACTAGGATTAAATACCACTTATACAGTATATAATTGATATTCCTATAAAGGGCCAAAAAAAGGCCAAAAAAATTGAAGTATCCCAGTGTATAAAATTTCATTCTCTTGAATTCTCATTTTCACGATTCCGACCCATACTCGCTTACCAGTTTGATTTTTCATAAAAACTTCATACCTTGGTAATCTAAGATGATTCTGACAGTAATATAATTCAAAATACGCCAATTTTTCTGATTTTTATGTTAGTATAATAAAAGAACTACAAGTATCTGCTAGGGCTTTAAACTATTTTTTAAGATCTTTGATCCTTGTTCTGCTGAGAATCAAATAATTTTAAATGACTTCTCCCTCTCTTACTACTTACTGAACTTTTCAAATGATTGTAAGCATTTGTACTATTATAATGTTAAGATGATCTGAGATTCCTTGACATTGAATTCACAGGAAAGAAAGAACCTTGGGGACCAGCTCACAATTTCAATCTTGCGGTAATTTTAAGTGAAACTTAAACAGCTTAAATCATTGATTTACATACTTTTGTGGTTCACTGAAGTCACATTATCAATTCTGTAATCAATTTTCAATGTTTTTTCCCTAACAAAACTGAACTTTCTATCCCCTCCCCAAACAAAGATCGAATTTGTGAGAAAGTATTTGGCTTGACCCCTCACAAGATAGCATTCCATAACATTGAACTTACTTTAACCCGAATAACTTACATATTACAAAAGACAAACAACCGAACTTTGAATGAACCAAAACAAAAAAATTCACAAATTGGCACAGAATCAATATAAAGTACCAAAGTATGCAGGATTTGTATTAACCAAAGCTGATAAAGGAAAAGGAAAATAAAGTAAAAATAGATGCATTTTGGAAAAGTTAAAATAAGAATATATATGATGCACAAAATTAGTTTGGTCCCATGCAAGAAAATTCAGAAAAAATGAAGGAATCACAAAATTTTCTATTACATGTACGTCAAAATGATAACAGAAAGTCATTGCATAGACCCTGGTAACTTTAATGAAACTTCCAACGAAACAGGCCATGGAATAGGTTAATTCCTTTGAAATACCAAGAAGACATTGACAAGGAATGTTCAAAGTGAAAGGTATTTTTCAAATTTGTTATATATCATTATTAATAGGTCAGTTATACATCATTTTTAATAGGTCAGTTGTTTTTATTTGCCTAACTATAGATTAAAGGGGCAATAAGGCTTGTAGAGAGAAAATAGGAAAATTTTAACTTTTTCTGAGTTATCAAGGCAACAGTTGGCTTAACATCTTCTTCGAAATACCTATTTTCTTAAAATGTATGGATAAACTATCAATTTCGGCATTAAAAGTGTAAATTCAGTTCAAAGCTTCAAAAAGGGGACGTCCACTTTTATATTTTTAAGATCCACCATGTTTCAAGAGGACTATAAGCTGAAATAATGATTATCTAAGGGGTTTCTTTGTAGAAAATAAAAATAGATGTTAGTCTTGATGAAATACCCAAACTTAAATATATTTTGACACTGGTCCATGATCGTTGAATGGCCCCTCTGCACTACTTGTTGCACCTTTAATGACATAAATCGTGGAGGGCCGAGGCTAAAGCATTATTGCCCCACCCTCATGACACCATGAGACAGGTGAGGCAACAGAAAGTTGTGATAAATATTTTGAAGATAGCCATCATAATCTGAACATGCAGTTTAATCTCAATATATAACTCTTAACAATTGCATGCCATGTGCATGTGCCAAACACATGGCAAATGCATGTACATGAACCAAGAGAATATGCTTACTTGGATCATGTTTGCTTATTCTATCAATCCATACATATATTGGTTAATTCACTAAGTGCATTCGTTTGACTTTATTTCTTAAAAGAGAGCTTCGTCTTCACTCTTTTAGTTTACAATAAATCTCTGATCTCACAGAGCCAATCAGAGTTCATCGTCAAAATACAGACGACTTTCTATGGTCATTTCCTCTGACATCACCCCATAGTTAATGAGCAAGTATTTAGCATGTGTTCCTTCCACTTCGATGATTAGTTGAGAAAGGGTCAGCGTGGTAGATTTGAAATTATTTATTACCACCAATCTGTGGAGCGGGGCTGCTTAACTGTAATATAGTCTATAACCAGGCATAGGGTAGTTTATAACTATGACTCTGCGCACAGGGTAATTGGTTATTATCATGAATGATAATTATTTCAACAATGATCTCCAGGAATTTCATATGTAACTTGTAAGAACATGTCCATGCAGTGTCATCACATTATGACTATGAGTTGATGACTTGAAAATATACAATGATGCATACAATACTTATACATGTACACTAGGTATACATACATTTAGTGAGTTAGCTCATGATTCATGAGTTTAATATTATTTAAAGATGTGACTATATACAAGGAGAGTTTTAGACAAAACAATTTTACAATTTCTAATTCATGGGAATTATCATAGATGTTGTATCATTGAACGCCACACCCTTCTTTCAGGTCAATTGGCCAATAATTATAATCCTGCGATAATCAGAATAGCGGATGTGACTTCTATGTAGATTATAACAGGTGATGGAAAAATCTATGATTTTATGTGAATGATGTGTTAAATAAAGATGATCTAGATTTGCCTTTATATATTCTACACTCCAGTCAGCAGCTGATTTTCAAGTGATCTAGGGTAGGCCTACATGTACAATTGTACACTGTATACATGGTAATAGGCTAGACTAACAGTAAAGTGTATGAGGTACTATATAGTGAGGTCAGTAACTAAGTACAATGCTCTCGAGTAAGTAGAATATTAAATTCCTAAAATTGAGCTCATATAATACATTATCTGGTTCAGTTTATAAAATTCTATAAAATTGTGAAATACTCCGCCCAGGCACAACCAATAACTATTTTTATTTCATCAACAACAACAGCGGAGATAATTTATGCAGAATAATTTACGTATCAACCTCCACTTTTCCCACTCGATTTCTGGATGATAATTATGGCTGATGTTTAGGTTCAGGTACATATATAGATAACTTTGTATATCAGTTCACCTTTGCCAAAACATGATTCATGAAAGAATCACTGGGAATGTGTAAATTTGCTCATACAAATTATCGATCTGGCTCGATGAAAACAAGATGGCGCAAAAAGAAAAGTCAAATTATCAAGAATTTTTTTCCCAGTGTTCAATTTATAGACCATTTAGAAGGTAAATACTCACTCGAACTTGTACAGTCTGTTCTCGTCTAGAAGTAGTGACAATTCGTTTCTTCGAAAATTGTCGATTTTTAGTATAAAATCGGGTTCAAAATCTGGTATTTCAACAAAGGTCGCTGCGATTCCCAAGCTAAAATTGCATTCAATCGTTTGTTTAGGTAATCAGTCAGCTGTCAAAACGACGTGATCTCATTGGTTGATTCTTGTTGCTAGGGTCTAAATATGGCAGAACTCATGAATATTCATAAAGATTTCCCTTATTTGGAAGTAGCTAGAACATGTTTACATCACGTGATGTCAATATTGTTTAAGGTTGACCTGCACGCACACAGCTGCTGACAACTCTTGCTGCTGACAGCTAGTTTGACCCGGACATGACCCCATTTTTCCGATTTTCGTTTGTCGTTTCGATTGGCAAACTTCCCCGGGCAAATATTAATTCCCGGGAAAACTCACAGAAACCTGTATCACTATCAACTGACAGTGATATATATTGGTGACAGAACCCTGGAATTGATACAGGTTCCTTTGGGCAAATTTCTTTGAAAGAATTAAGCTTAGTTATCTCGTACCAAGACCATCGGAGTTTGGAATACATCGAGATATTGCAACAGCACTGGCGGATCTTGGGGGGGGGGCAAGGGCCCAGGGCCCCGCCCCCGGACCCGCCCCGCCCCCGGCCCCCCTTGGATGGGCCCAGAAATTTATTATTCCTTAATTTCCGTAACCGAGGCCCGTAACTTTCAAAATGTGTGCCCAATTTTTGGTTTGACACTGGCGGATTAGGGGGGGGGGCTGTGGGCCCCCTTGGGTGGGCCCAGAAAAAAAAATTGGGCCCAAAAAAGACCGGAAAAACGCTGAAAAAGTGGTCCTCAAACAGGGGCGGATCTGGGAACTAACAAGGGGGTTAGCCCAAATTTCAGGTCAGAGAAAAAACGTCCTTAAAAAGGCCAAGTTATGACCAAAAAGACCCACTTTTTTTAAATATTTTTTGCAAGGACTCGGAGTGATTGATATTCTGTTATATCACTTGCGGCAAACCTACCATTTCCCATTGGTTAACATGGGAATGTCGATTTTCAAAAATTCATCAAATTTATCATCAATTTCGACCTTTTGTAATTGAGGAAAAAATTGAGAAAATTTGGAGGTATTGGAAATAAAGTCAAATTACGGTCCCATCAATAGTATAAGTATTTTCATCGCAGGTTAAGTAAATAAAAATTCAAAGGTATGGCTTTTACACGTAGTCCAATGAGGGAGCTAAGGTTGCCAAACTTATGGAGGGGAGTGTACGTCTATATAAACGTCGACACCGTCGTCCTTACGGCCCTAACCAGTGGCCCTGACTGTGTATAAATGATAAGGAAAATAATTGTATATAGGTCACCATATAAATCAATAGAGAGTAGGACCAAAATTTGATAGGACCATCTACCCTTTTACACCTGCACTGCGTTCATCAAAACGTTACCGAACTGCATGGTTTAAACTGTGTACGAACGAAATGCAAAAATACTCAAAAGCAATAGCTGACCTAAATGACGATTTAATCTGGCTTAAGTAGCAACTAACACCGACATCTTTACTATCTTCGGTTTTTACACCACACTTTAGGTAGAACTAACATAATCAAAGATTATTACAACAAATTATACATATTATCCAAAATACTATCTTACACAACTAATATGTTATTGGGCTTCGAAAGTACATTCGATTCAATCGAATGATAAAACTTGTGAGTTGTGTTTACAGCTAACCAAAATGTCCATAATGGTACTGTCGAATGGACGAAACTGACCATGTATTCTCAGTTTTCTGGAGCCTTTTGACAGCCTGTCATTTTGAAGGTGGGTAGCTTTGTGTGTCATGTCAACCCGCGTGCCTAGGAGGCTACACCCCACGGTAGGCTAATGGAGGTTACTTCCCACCTTTTCCACCTTGAAGACTTTGACTAAAATGTCAACTAAAATGTCAATAGTCATTGCGAGCAGAGATTTCCATTTAGTTACTGTCTTGGATTTATATCATAACTCTTAAGCATCCGTTTTTCCGGGGGCCGTATATATTTGAATATTGACAGCTGAGATCTGTTGGCGGATTTGAGTAGGTTTACCAATTTTCTAGCTTTCAACTGAACGTATCTGAAGTCGGTAGGCCTAGTTTTCACAAAATAGGACATTTGTGTGACTTGTTAGGAAATGAACGTGTTCCGTTCCAGGGGCGTAGGAAGGTGTAAATTCAACACTACGCCAAAAATCCCGCCAAAAATATGAAACAATTGTGTCAATATTCTTTATCAAAACGCCTATTTTATGCTCGTAAAATCACCGTGGTCAGAGGTAACGCGGCGCAGTCAAGCATATCTGTTCAAAACGAGGCTGCAACGCGGCAACGACACAAAATGGCCACTCAGTGGAAGGTCGAAAGGGCGGTAAGTTTATTCATAAGCTTCATACACTAGTTTGAGTCTGCTACAGTTATAATAGCATATACCATTCGGTGGAGAACTTCACAGAGTATGTCTATGTGAAGCTTCTTGAAATTTAGTCAATCAGGGAGATACATTCCAAGTCAATCAAAGTCAATCACTTACTGAAATTTGACAATTGTGGCATTTTTCTAGCTTAAGTTCTATGTTTTTGACTTTGTCACTTGACACATATCTATTAAATCACGTATATACCACGGTAATCTCTATTTCTTCAAAGTTTCATCACTGTTTGCCTTCTGTTAACCGATTCTGGGTGGAAAACCAGGTATATTTTGGAAACACAGTTCAGACACTTCGGCAACGCGGGTTCAGACATCATACATATTTGACAAAACTGGAAACGCAGTGACAGCAATGCAGCTGATGTTCTATCGTGTACGATAATTACATTATCAAAGTGCCCAGCGGACCTCGGGAAATGGGGTTGTTGGCCTCCTCCCCCTATCTGGTGATATGAATTTCCGTTTATTCCCCTCGACATTTATGTTTATTGTAGAATTGCTCCCTATTCTTCGTCTCTTCGTTCTGTATAGGGATGGATTGGCATTGCTTGATCTTTTTCTGAAAAAAAGTCACATGCCTTATTAAATCAAAATCCTCGACAGAAAAGCCTAATGCAAAACTTTTTTGTACTTTACAATACAGAGAAAGTTGATGCCTGCACTGCGTTGCCATACGATTTAATCTATGCTGTCGACGCGTTGCCATAATTGCTGAAAATGACTGCGCCGCGTTTCCGGCTAGTTCAATTTTGTAAGCAGATTGCGATGAAAATAAATAAAAGTTTCAATCTTAATTTGTATTGTACATTCTATAAGTATCAGGCTATTGAATGTCAATGTTAAACTTGCTCATGAGTGGCGAAATACCTCCTTAATTGGAATAAGAAGATAGGTCAAGAGAAATAGGATCGGGAAATCATATCTGCGTTGACTATTTCTTTACTCTGGTCAATGCCTGAACAGAAATTCTTATAGCTTTACATACCTTAAGGGGTTGATCACCGAGTGTGAAGCATGAGTTTTCAAAAACTTACCTATGTTTCGAGGAAACAGGGGACGAAGTGCCTCCGATAATTGGAGTTGCCTCCATTTTGTGTCTTTACCGCGTTGCAGCCTCGTTTTGAACAGATATGCTTGACTGCGCCGCGTTACCTATACCCACCTTGAAAATGTCATTTTATGAAAACAGAGATTTTAAGCTTGCAATGTTTCTCACAACCTAAGTGTGAACGGAAATACTAAAGCGATGCATTTGTATGGGCGATTGGTCATACGTATAGGTTGTCGTTTCGATTTTATATGCAAGCTTTAAATCCCTGATACCTTTTTAATGTGCTTTAAAATGTTCGAATGATTTTCATCATTTAAAATCACCTTGGAAAGCCTATCTTTTAAATCTCGACACAAATCATTCTCACTTTGCTAATGTCTCGAACGATTGAGGCGACCAATTTCCAAAACAATAAGAGATTTTTTAATAATTTTCGAATAATTGAATTTAGATATATAGTATTGTCTGATTCCATCGTGTACCGTGCAATACAATACGTACAGATTAAAGAAACTAGTTTGATCAATTGATATGAAGAAACGCATTCGTGATCAATGAAACAAAAAAACACCCCCACAACAAAGGTCAAATCGAGGTCAACGTGACTTAGGGGGTGCCAAAAATGTTATAAAACAAGAATCTATTATTTTTCAAATGGAAAAAAACTAGGTAATCGCTTTTCTAGAACTGAAATCAATGAAACGTTTTATTGAAAAATCAGCATTTTCAAGTTGTTTTTGTCTTTAACATTCCTATTTCAAGAAGTACTACTAATAACAATTAGTGATTTAGTAAGAAAATAGATAATTGCTGACTTAACTATAATTTCTGTCTATGATTTTGCATAGCAACGGAATATAAATCGATGTAGTGAAATTGAAAAATCGGGGTAGGGGAGAATAAAAAAATATACATCTTTTAAAGAGGTTCATTATTATACTCATATGATACCATAGTTTGCATAAGCATTACGGAACATGCAGAAAAAAATGAAAAAACAGTTTTTCTCTCAAATTCGTGAAGAGAACGTGATTCACGAATATTTGGCGAAATTGTATTTTACTTTTAAAATTCATAAGATAGTCTCGATTTTCATGAAATAAAGCATGTTGGTAAGGGAATTCAATCTGTTAAACGATATTTGCCAGACAGACCAATAATGATATGGTATCCACAAAACATTTCTTTAGGCTAGTGTGCTCGAGATTACTTTTACAATTTATGAACAATGAGAAAATATGACTAAAGAACATAGGAAAATTTTTATTCTCACTTTTCAACACTACGCACTGGCGTTTTGGCGTACATTGTTCCTACGCCACTGCGTTCAGTGTTCTTTGTTGGTTTCATTTTCATTGTAGAAACAAGCTTTGTATAAAAAAAAACTCCTAGCTCGCACCCACCTACCCACGTACGACATGATACAGTCTTTGAAGGGTTCAACTTTGAAGATTATTAAGAAGATTATTAGAATTATTATTAGATTATTAGAAGAATTATTAAATCTTAGTTTATGTTGAATTATAGATGAATCAATGCACCAATATGCCTTTATTTATGGATCTGTCAACTGTCTAGCCATAAAATAAAGCCGGAATTGCAAAATTGT